TTTTGTTTTTCATCTGAGCTCTCATTCAACTGCATTCTCCAGAGATCTCTTCAAGTTCTTGTTCTTCTGTGGCTTGGCTCAAAGGCCAGGCTGTGTTACTCCCCTCAAGTGCAGGATCCCAGGGTCCGCTGGAATTTCTCATCTTCTGTAATATTAGCTGCTTCTTTTCTTCACACCTCCACCATTAACAAAAGACAATACAAAAGACTTTTCTACCTTTCTTGTTTCTAGCTGGCTTAGAATAGCAAGTTTTTGGATTCCATTCTATCTAATTTAGGAAAGAGCCACCGTGGGCACTTTTTTTCTAAAAAGAGCTCAATTTCAGTAATGTGAGCCTAAAGATTTATAAAATAGATTTATATTAAATTATGTTAATAGAAGCCTAGTAAATGCACCAATTAATTACATGGAAAAAAATGTTCTCTTTTAAAAGGTCTGTCACCTTAACAGGTACATTCAAAGATTCCCAGTGAATAATGAAAATAGGAACAATTGCTTTGATGCGCTGAGCTGCATTCACAGTCTAGGACAGCTTTTGGCTATGTTTGGAGAAGGGAGGAGCTCCTTTTAAAGGAGTGATTGCTCCTTTAAACCCAATTTCCTTTAGCAAATGGGTTCAATTGGAAGTGTCATTCTCACCCCCCCTCACATCCTGAAGACTGGGCTGGAGCTCACGTCCCTGAATTCTCCCTCCCACCTCTGTGTTCAGCAGCTTTCTCTATGCCCCAAGCTGTGTCTGAGCACCTTGCCACCTTCCCCAAGGTGTACAGGCAAAGTGAGTGGGACCTGCAAAGAAGGGAGGTACAGGTAGGAAAAACAAAACCAAGGGCTAAAGCTGGAGCTCTGTTTGGGTGCTTGCCTCATAAGCACAAAGCCCAGAGTTCTTTCAGCAACAACATATAAAGGGGCATGGTGATGTACTCCTGTAATCTCAGCACTCAGGAGGTGGAGGCAGAAGGAACAAAAATTCAAAGTTATCATTAGCTGCAAAGGCACTTTGAGGTCAGCCTGGACACTAGAGACTCTGTATCAAAATTAAAGAAAAAGAGAAGGAAAGAAAGAGCCTAAAAGTTGATAAAAATTAGTCTTTGCTTTCCATTTACATCACCACTCCATTCTCTCTCTCTCTCTCTCTCTCTCTCTCTCTCTCTCTCTCTCTCTACCTGAATTACAGCCCATGTGTACACATGGGCCTTGTTGCCATCTGTGATCTCTTTTGGTTAGCACTACCACATTGGTGACAATTTGTCTGACCACATGTCAGTGTGGCCCAAGCAAACTGTCACAATTATGAACAGATGTAAAGGGACAGATGTAGTGTGAGGTAGTGAAGAGGCCAGAGGAGGCCATAAATGAAACATTACTTATCCCTCAAATTTGTTTCTCCTTGGAAAAGTAGGAGAAAATTGAGATATGAGAACTAGTTCAAACCAGTTCAGAATAAGAACTCCAGAGCAGAGAGGTCTCTGCTTGGGCATGTCCATCTCCATTACCTGGGCCACTGACACCTCAAGAATGGGCTGCTGAATCCTTTTGCTTTTGGTAAGGTTTACAACTGAGAAGCTGTGTCAGGGACACAATTCCTGTCAAGTCCTTGGCCTTGAGCATGTACTGAATGGGAAGGTAATGGGGAAAGGTCTCTGCAGTCCTTTCCTCTCTGAATGTCTGGGCTGGGCCAGGGCACAGGGGTGAGAGGTCACCCTCCCTGCCCTCTGCAACTCCCATGTGCCTCGGGACTTGTTCTCAGGGGTGGACAACCCCTTTAATGGCTCTTGCTGCTCACCCCCTTTTTCAGGAGAATGAGTTCCCAGTTTCTCCTTCTCCCTTTCATTTTTCTTTCCTGGCTGTGTTTCCAGGCCTCTGAGAGGCTATGTTGTGGATAGCGAGCATTCAGCGGGTTTCTGTTTTTCAAGTGGGGTATGTGCAGGCTGGAGTCAAGGACTTTCCAGATAGACTTGTCTATGTTTTAAATCTCCAGTGCAGCCTAGGGAACATCATTTACAATGTCTGATCTCAAGATTGTTAGTACACTATTTCTATGTGTGTGTGTTGACTTAAAGGCTCTTAAGCTAATGTAAGCCCTTAAAATCAGTCTAGGCTCCCGAAGTCTTACTCTGAAAACTTCAAAAATATTAACTGATTTAACTGGGGTGGAGAGTAGGGGTTGAGGATATCAAATCTGTCCTCTATTCTGAAAGTGACAGAAATGTCCATTCTTCACGAAATGTGCCAGAAGGACTTCTACAGAACCCCTCTTTATTTAGAAAGTATCCAAGGTCGACCTAAGTACCTTTGCCGGAATCATTTTGTCTCAGGGGAGTGGGAGGGTCTGGTGTTTATTCTTCACTTTCTCAGGAACTGCCTGGAATATGGGAGCCAGAGCAGCTGCTAGCATTCTAGTAGCCCAAAATCCAGCGAGCAGTGCTTGCCTCTTTCTAGTCTGCTACTGAGTCACAGCATCAGGTGTGTTAAGCACTTGATTCAGTGTTCTGCATGCGCTGCCTGCAGTCGGTCCCGAGCTCACAAGGCCAGGGGGCTAGGGCCCAGACTGGTGTTGGACTTCAGAGAGAGCCAGGCCCAAACCCCAGACGGCGGAGGGTAGGCAGGCTGTACATGGGAAGGCTATGGAACGGTCTGCCCACGACGCGCACCGGCTTTGCTTAGCTGGAGCTGGCAGAGCGGCCGCGAGGCCTCTTTGTCCTTATTACTCCCTGCGAAGGAACTGCCCTCTTTCTATGCCCTGCCCCTTCTTTGCGCATGCAAACGCCTTTCCACCCGTGCTCAAGGTCTGTTCCTTAGGAAAACCGGAGTGGGTTTTAGGAAAGGCAGCGAACCAGCACCATCCCCCCACGCCCCCACGCCCCACCCCACCCCCTACCCCGGATCAACAGGTAAACTCCCCTTGGCTCTGTGTTCGAGAAAGCACTGGTCACAGAGATCCAGGCCAGAGCCTCCCAGGCCCAGGAAGGAGTAAGTGGTAGCCTGGGATCTTTGCATAGAACCGGAACCTTTGCACAGAACCTGGCAGAAAGCGGCCCGCAGCTCCCTATCCACTAGGAAACTGTGTAGTCCCTCCTCCCTCTGTCTGCAGCGGCGTGCGCAGTAGACTCCGAAAGCCAGCTTGTTCCTGGAGTTCGGGGAGCTGGAGAGGGAGAATGTATGAGAGAAAGAGGTGAGGAGAGGGGAGAGAGGGAGGGAGGGAGGGGGAGAGAGAGGAGAGGGGGAGAGAGAGAGAGAGGGGGAGAGGGGAGAGAGAAGGGGAGAGAGGGAGGAGGGGAGAGAGAGAAGAGAGGAAAGAGGGAGAGGGGAGAGAGAGAGAGAGAGAGAGAGAGAGAGAGAGAGAGAAATCATATTCCCTCTTCCCTAACATCCTCAGTTTTAAGGCCCCAGTCTTTTTTGCTGGTAGGTTTGTTAGGATCCACCTAAAGTAAATCAAACCTAAAGAAGGTGTGTGTGTGTGTGTGTGTGTGTGTGTGTGTGTGTGTGTGTGCACATGCCTGGCTTGCTTTAAGCAATTCCCCTGACTTGAACTTACTGGGTGACATCTTTATACAAAATAATCAGAAATCCCACTGATGCATGTTGGTGGGACTCAGCCCTGGTTCTGTCTTCTTCAGTTCTCTTTCATTGACATGGGCCTAGCTGTGCAGCACACAGGGGCAGGTGTTCCTGCTGCAAGAGGGGCTAAATAGCTAGCTGGCAGGAATGAACCCCAGGGAGCACGGTCAGGTAAAAGTTGACCAGCAAAACCCAACAACAATAAACAAATACCCCCCCACTCCCCACCCCAACTCCAGAGTTTTACTCCACAGGTATCTTTGGTCTCTTTCAGAAACATGAGACTGTCAATATTTAGACCGAATATTTTCTGTTCCTGGCTTTTGCTATCTCAGCCTTGAGGCGATCCAGCTAATTCTGCTGTTATACACACCACCAGGAACATTAAAGTTTCTAGTCACTTGCAGATGTCATTTCTCAGTTTCCTTGTGCTCCTTGGTGGATTGTGGGTCTTCTAAAAACCATTCCCACTTTGCAAAATCCTTCACATGATTCAGGTTGTAGTACCAAGGAAGATGGGAAAGCAGAAAAGAGGACAAAGTGCCAGAACACTTAGTAGAAACTTTCTCTGCTTTTTGGCTAAGATCAAATTAAATTAAAAACTGGGTGTGGGACTTTTCACCTCTCTTTCCTACATAAAAGGTTTACCTGCCATGGTCAAGTGTCCCTCAGAATGGAATTTTTGTTCTATCAACTGTGAAAACCATCACCTATTTTGAGAGAAGGGTTACTACTTGGTGGGTGACATCGCGATGGGACTGAATGTGTCTTTTTGTCAGAAGTTTCTGTTACACAGAAAACTTAAATGACAAGTTCCATCAGCTGAGTGACCCACATTAAGCTTCAGTTAACATTTCCCTCAGACTTCCCCCCACCTTTCTCTAGATATGGTGTGTATGTGGTGAGAACACCACACCTTAAAATATTTTTGTTTCATTTATTTAAATAAATATAAATATAAATTTTATATAAAACTATTCACATACAAAGGGACTTCCAGAGACTTGGATTTTAAACTCTCCCTCCATGCAAATTTTCAGAAAACAAGATCTACAGGGTTTAATTTTCTATATTATTTGAAACTTCAATAATTTCATTTTAAAACAACAACAAAAATAATGAAGAAACTCCGTGTTCTTACCAAGTTCTGAAAGACAGGGGTGAGAAATGACATGCGCTTTCCAAAAACCCCCCATACAGTGTTAAACTTAAACCCTGGTTTTCCTGTTATATGAGACTGACTTGAATACTAGATTATTTACATTTTAAAAATGATCTATAACTCCGAGTGGAGCCCCAAATTAAAAGTCCAGATGGAGACTTGAAGCGTCAAGGCCCAGCTTTGCAGGGACTTCTTCGCTGTTGCTTTTCCAGGTGGGCTCAGGGCAATGAACTAGAACTTTGGTCCCCGTGCTGCTGGCGTTCCAGGGGCTGAGGAGGTGCCCCCTTTATAAGGGGGAAATCTCCTTGTCCTCGTTAGCCGAGGCTGGTGACAAGGAGTCCTCGTCCTCTGAGCGCGCATAATGCGCCTGGCCGCCGACGCACTTGCAGCCAGCGTGACTGTTCCTTGGCGCGCCCTTCCCCTCCTTCTTGTGTTTCACGCGCCGGTTCTGAAACCAGATTTTCACTTGCTTCTCCGACAGGTTCAGGTATGTGGCGATTTCGATCCTCCGGAGTCGAGACAGATACATATTGGAGGAGAATTCCCGCTCCAGCTCCAGAAGTTGCGTGCTGGTGAATGCAGTTCTCACCCTCTTGCCGTTGGGTACTTGGCTGGCGTCGGAGCCTCCTGCGGATCCAAAGAGGGCAAGAGAGGTAAGGCTCGGGAGAGGTGTCCCCACCCCTCCTACCAAGAGTAGGAAAGGACGCTTCTCTAGGACCCAGGCCAACCTAACACAGCAGATCGTCCCTCTTTCCCATTCCATAAGCACCAGAGAACGGGAGAGAAGTCCAAGCAAGTTAAGGCCTTTGCTGCGCAGGACTCTAAGTTAGAGGATTAAGGTCGTGAGAGCTTTGTACTTGTCTGTTGTCTTTCAACAGCAAAGCCTTAGCCAAAGGCATTGAAACCCTCTAGTCAGCTTGGACGCTGGGATGCTATGCTGAGGTTCAAACACACCCAACCCCAAACCTCAGCCAGTTAACCTTCAGTTCGTCTATAGTCGTGCTGGAGGTCCCAAAGGCCGAATAATGCTCTTGCACCTGTAGAGTGGAGCGCACGAAGCTGCACCGAGAGGTTGACAAGTTAACCTCCACCTTGGTGGAACTTCAGGGGACGATTCCAGAGTTGCACTAAAAGTCCCTCCTGCCTCCCCACCCCGCCCCCGGGTTCCTACTTTCTCCACTGGCGGCGCAAAGTTTGCTCCCGAGAGCGCTAAAAGCGCGGTGCGCAGGTGCCCAGAGACCCCGCCCTACCCATGGTGAGACAGTGGAACCTCCGCGGGTCCGCCACGTTGTAGGTGGTGGCGGCGCAGACAGGTGCGTGGTGCTGCGGGTGCCCCAAGGCTGCTGCGGCTGCTGCAGCCGCAGCTGCCGCCGCCGCAGCCGCAGCGGAACCGGGCTGCTGAGGCTGGTGGTGGTGGTGGTGCTGCGGCGGATGGTGGTGATGGTGCGCGTGGCTCACTCGCGGGCAAAACTGGGTTTCCCCGGGACCGGAAGAGAACTGGCTTTTGAGCAGAGGCAGGGCACCGGTGCCCCCAGCCGCCGCGCCGCCCCCGACCGCAGTGCCCGCGGGCCCCGCGCCCCCGCCCCCAGCTCCTGCGGCCGGGCGAGAGGAGTGCAGGTGCGAGGTGACGCAGAGCGGGCATACGCAGAAAGCGCCGCTTTTGCGGGATGGGCAGCCCGGCCCGGATACAGACATCACCAACGGGGACGGCATGCCCAGCGGGATGAAGAAATCCGGCCCCGGGTGCGGTTCGGGCAGCGAGGGTGCGGGCCGGGAGGAGTCCTTGATGATGAGCGAGTCGACATAGAAGGAGCGCGACATTTCGAGAGGGATGGATGGCTGGTCCTGTGGCCCGCGGCGTCCCCTCTCCTCCCGTATTCTAAGCTCTGCCCCGCAAGCCCTTGGGGACGCAGAGGTGTCGGCGTCTGGGACGCGAACAAAGGGGTCCCTGGAGAGGGCTGGTCCTCACGTCCCCCGCCCGGCGCCCCGGCTCCGGGATTTTATAGCCCCCACCCCGGCACGTGATGCTGCGGAGTACAGCTCCGCTCTGGCTCCTCGGCAGCTCCCCACCCTCGGGATAGGCTGCCCGAGTCACAACAGAAGCGGCGAAGAGGGGCGGGCGCGCGGCGGGGAAGAACGCGGGAGGAGGGGAAAGGGAGACTTTGCAAAGTGAGGGTTTTGTTAATTTCGCGGGGGTGGGGGAACGTCACGCTTTCGTGCAAGAAATCCTCTACCTTACCCTTCTCCCTCACTTGGGCCTCTGCCCAACTCTTCACTGGGCCTCTGCCCAACTCTTCACTGGGACCCGAGCGCACTAAGTGGGGACTCAGAGGCCTTTTTAAAGGAGTGCCCAAGACTCTCAGCCCCTCACTGCCAGCGGTGGCCGCGCCACTGTAGAGCTCAAGGTTTCCACTTTGGACCGGGGTATGTGACTGCAGTCTGAAGGCGGTCTAGTCCTGACCACAGTCATACCTGCCCTTGTTCCCCAGCTTTTACACTCAGCCAAGGTCATTTGGGTGGTTAGCTTAGCGAGTAGCAGTTGAGTCTTTCCAGCTAAGAAACCAAGCATTCCACGTTGTTGCTACATATGGTCCCAAAATGCCTTTGCACTTGGGGCCCTCCCGGGACCACTGAGACCAACAGCCCTTCCTTGTGCACCTTTTTAATGGCCTGTTCACTCTTCTGAAGAGAGAGGCAAGCGAAAGGGGGCGGGGGGGGGGCAGAAGAGTCACCTTTTTCTCTCTCCAAGCAATTTCCTAGCGTAGCCTACAAACTCCAACCAGAAAAATTTGGAAAGACAACCAAAGGCCAGACTTCCTAGAGCCTGGATAGGAACTGCGGGAGGCCCTTGCTAGGATCTCCTGCTTCTTCTCTCTCTCTCTCTCTCTCTCTCTCTCTCTCTCTCTCTCT